GATTTGACAGAATTTAAAATGTTAGTTTAGTATTAGTTTTAATTTCTTTTGGTTTCTACAAATTCCCTAGTGCACTAAATTCTCCTCTAGCCTTCTGCTACCTACAGTGATATATTTACCTGACACCACAATCGCTTTGAATTTTATTTGTTAGACATAATAAACGCGTGTTGAGTGGGAGGTTTTTTTTTTTTTAATTTTATTTTTAAGCCAGTTCGTGAGTCTGGGGTTCCATGCAGTGTATAAGCACTCGTCTCCTTGTTTTGTGGGATCAGAGATATTTCGTCCAGGTCATGCCAGTGTGTTAGGAAACAAGGAGGCATATGGAGTGTCTGGTTCCGCAAAACTTCGCGGTGAACTGATGTATGACAAGTTAGATGTTGTGGAGGTACTGTGAGACTGTCTTGTTCCGCAAAACTTCGCGGTGAACTGATGTATGACAAGTTAGATGTTGTGGAGGTACTGTGAGACTGTCTTGTTCCGCAAAACGTCGCGGTGAACTGATGTCTGACAAGTTAGATGTTGTGGAGGTACTGTGAGAGCGAGTGAACAGTGCGAAAGCACAAATAGATCATTATGGTCTGCGGAGAATGGTGCTGTGAGGAGTTACCATGGAATCAGGCTGACGCTCAATACTCAAGGGAAAGGCGAGATGGATATACAATCAGGCAGTTACTAGTGCCATCAGAATTGTAACTCTTCGCTTGCGGCTGAAGATGGGGACGCTGTGTCCTCGAGTGCTGTGAACTCGATTCAACATACAAATGGGAACAGAGGCGTTTCAGACATTAGTCATACTGTTTGTTAAAGAGCAACAAATAAGACAGTGCGGCCATCTGAGGAGAATACCATGGTACCAACTGCTACAAGGAGCCACGTTAGAGAAATATACAGGACATAGAGTAAGTGGGAGACCACGCAGAAGAGGGAAGGACGGCATCAAGAACAATCTTAAAGAAACAGAGAATAATTTCTACAAAGCTCTGAAGAAAGCATACAGAGGATTCTTACACCCTTCCCACCCACGTAAAACTTCGATAAAGTAACTAAAGGTAGACAAGCAGAAGTAGAACCGTGCATGTTATATTTTCCGGACATCCGCTTTAGGAGGTAAGAATCATGTGTGTAAGATTTAAAAAAAAAGGTGGGTCTCACACACACACAGAGAGAGAGAAGAGAGAGAGAGAGAGAGAGAGAGAGAGAGAGAGAGAGAGAGAGAGAGAGAGAGAGAGAGAGAGAGGAGAGAGAAGCCAAATGCGTGACTGTACGGATAACCACAAATTTACTTAAAGACTGACTACATTCTCTTAAAAAAAACAGTCGTCCCCTTGTGGAAAGCAATTTTTCGTTATTTTGAAGCCCCACCCTGGCTATTGCCAGGGGCCCTAGTAAAACTTAACGGTTGAAGGGGGTTCCAGTCCTCGTTTCACATAGTGTCACTTTGTGTCGCCGGGTGTTTATCACTCTGTGTGAATTCTGGTGCGGCAAAACTTACTACACACTCGCTGCACGTATCACTACTATGTGCAATTTCAGTGGGTGCACGTCATTATACTCCATCTCAAACATCTTTCGTTTGTCTTCTTGTTGTGTTCAACCACTGATTGACTCTTGTTTCCTTATGATTTAGAACGTCTCAAATCCACATAAGTAATTTCACTTTTAACGGCCTTTCATCATTGTGTGCCATGCCGATGAGCGCAGGCAATCATTGTTTACCATCCCACTTTATCACTAGAACCACAGATCAGGTCAGTGTCCGCAAGAGCAGACTAACTGGGCGCTTCATTCGAATTCGAAGTAGATCTACCTGACAGATAAGGAACCAACAATGTGTATACAAATAAACTAGATCCGTAAAACGGATGTGCAGACAACATTCAGGTTCTGCAACAAGATTAAAGTTCAGAGATGGATGAACAACCAGAACTGTCCACCAGAGTTTGATTACAGAGTTTACAGCTTTTAAACATAAAAGACTGTATTGGGTCAAAAGGTAGAGCTGCTACAGCCTAGCTGCAAACCGCAATATAGTGAGCCAGCCATACTCTTAAGGGTAAATGACGATGAAGAACTATCAGTAAAGTAGGTAAACTAAAGGACCTTTTTTTCATTCCAGTAGCACATCAGTAAGTTGCTGTTTGGCCCACATTTCAATAAATCAACTGGAACTTGGTGGGGATGTGGTCAAATTCATGCTAGCTGCCTTTACTTCCCAGACAGCTCCTTGTACCAATTTCAGATCTAATTTCAGTCAATCCATCATCATTATTATCATCTTGCTGTGTTGCAAGTTATTCTTTCACCTTGTTCTATACTGTGAAACTGTTTCTTTGCACTACTTCGTGTTCAAAGGCTGTAAACTCCAACATAAAGTTCTGGTTGGTTGTCCGTTCTGGACTTTGATCTGGTTCCAGAGCTTCAGTTTTGCATACCCGTTTTCACAGATCTGGCTTCTTTATAAAGACTCATCATCATCATGTAGCAGGTCCTTTGCAGAACGTTGCTCTCATCACGGTCTGCCTGAAAGAAACTCGGTCTCTCGCCAGCTCTCCCGCCTCATGCACTTTCATACTCAAGGAGTCACTCATATCCTGTGCCCATCTTCGTGTTGGTTGGCCCTTGCGCCTCCTTCCTGGTACCATGCCCTCTGCTTTATAAACACTAATTAGTCACATTTCACTGATCTGGCTTATTTATATGAAGACTAATTAATCACCTTTCACAGATCTGGCTTCTTTATATGAAGACTAATTAGTCACCTTTCACAGATCTGGCTTCTTTATATGAAGACTAATTAGTCACCTTCCACAGATCTGGCTTATTTATATGAAGACTAATTAGTCACCTTCCACAGATCTGGCTTATTTATATGAAGACTAATTAGTCACCTTCCACAGATCTGGCTTATTTATATGAAGACTAATTAGTCACCTTTCACAGATCTGGCTTCTTTATTTGAAGACTAATTAGTCAACTTTCACAAAATGCATGTTTGGGAGGCCTGTGGGCCTATTTTTGTTTTGTATCCTTATAGTGGAGCCTTGGAACTCACACTTGGACAACTGTTTCAATATCAAAGATGGAATCCAGTTCACCAGCCTTGACTTCTCTCTCATAATTCATCTAAGGGTTTCTTTTGGATGTCCTCATCTCCTTAGTCCGTTTGCTTGTCTGGTGATTTAAAAAAAAGCAGACACAAACAAAACTTTGCACACTTTATTGCCTGGCATATTCTGAATCTTTTTTCTCTGTCTAAAGAATTCTAAAGATTTTTCTGTAAAATCACATTTCCGGGGTCTCAAGATTTAATTCGGCTTGTGCATGTCTTTGACAACCTTTTACTGCTGTTTTGCTGGTCAACCATTGTCTGTTACTGTCCAGGATTCACAGTTGTTTGTTATAACTGGCTTTATACAGCAATGCAAGGATTCTCTTTCTAACCTCTGTTGAAACTGATTAACGTTTCTTTATTTTATAAAATACAGTTTGGCCTGTTCTATTCCGTTCTTTATCTCTGTGATATATCTTGCACGAGATGTTATCCATAGTCAATTACACATTGTTAAAAACAATCAAACAGGGAAGCTTTTTAGAGATCATGATTGAAAATAGAGAAGTTCAAAAGAGTCTAAAAATAATCAAGTAAAACACTTCTGCTGCATTTAATGAGAACAACACTCATAAAACTAGTTCTCACTGCCTTCCCTTCCCAGACAATTGTGTAGATTATCTGGTATCCATTTTTTTTTTTATTATACAGGAGGTCTGCACAGTAAAGTGGTCAAGCCATTTGTCTCACACTCTGAAGGTCCCGGGTTCATTTCACAGTACGCCATTTAGTTCATGAGTGCAATTTTTATGGAGATCCCTAGGTATCATAGCCAGAGCTACAAAGTTCGTGCTATGTTCGTCGCTTTTGGCAGGCAACTAGCCATTCTGCAAACAGAAACCGAGCTATTAGGAATAAAACCCAGTGCAAATTATTTCGATCCTCTTGACTTTAACCTTTAAAACTAGTGTTGTATTTGTCTTACATTTCATAAATCCCTGATGTTTTTAAGGATACTTCGAAGAAACATTTCAAGCTTCAACAACAAATAAAACATGAATTCTACACCACAACAATAAAAGAACAGATTACAGATAATTAATTCTACTTCACTTTAGTCTGTTCTATTGTCATCTTCATCATGTAGCAGATCCTGTACAGAACATCACCCTCATCACAGCACACACAAAAGCCTCACTGCACCTTCCCAACATTCCTGCCTTATAGACTTTTGCGCATGTCCTTGAAAACCTTTTACGACTATCTTTCTGGTCAGCAAATTGTCTGTCACTCCAGGTCTTTTAGTAAATAACTGTTCTCCCCAAAACCATTATGGTATTTAATATGGCCACGTATTTCAATTTGCTTCAGGCCTCAGAAAGTTGGTTGAAGTGGCAAGAAGGGACAATGTCCAGAAGCAGACAATATGTCATGACCTTGAAACCTAGGTCTTAACTTGAATACATCAGTCACAGTTACAATTATTTGGACATGTATGGCAGGTATGGGAGGCAAAGACCAAGAAACAAGACCATCAGGACAATCCAGAGTTTGCTGGAAAGACAACATCCAATAGTCCCCAAATGAAACAAGGTCAGAAAGAAAACTGCTGACAGAGAAATCTGGTATCTCTTTGGCGAACCTCTATACCCCCAAGGTTGAAGAACAATGACTAAGTAAGTCCTAAGTATTTCCATTTCTTCCCCCCAAAAAAGGACAGTACTTTCTATGAGCCAGTTCAAATTTAGATTAGGATCCTAAGAATGTCAATACTTTCCCTCTTTTGGTCCAGGGCACTCCAAACATCCTTCTGTAACACAAGTTCAAAAGCCTTATTTCTGCTTTACTGTTAGATTAATAGGTAACCTTGTCTTATTACTTGTATCTTCTACCGTGTTTCCACATATATTTTATACTACACAAATTATTAACACAACAATATACTTACACCAAACATTTCTTTCACTGTAAAACAGCCTGAACTCTTCTCCAGGATTTGCAATACCTCAAAAAAGATGTCACCAAAATAAATATTTATTAATGAATATTTGAGCAGATGTGGTGAGTCTGTGAGACTGAAAAACATTTTGAAGATAGCTCAAGAAAACTGTAGAGAAGGATTAAACAGTAAATAAGGAAAAAATAAATTTACAAATGAGGTATTAATATAGCTCAAAAACAAAATAATATCATCCTAGATCCCGTTAAATATTCCGTAAGATAAACTGCATTTTATAATTATTACAATCATTTAAAAAGCATATTTAAAATATATTAAACTTAACAGTCTGTACTTGTAAAATCTGTTACAGTTAATACATAAATTATGCAATATTAAACTACCATTTTTCTATCTTATGTGTGTGTATAAAAAGAGGGGAGAGAAAAGAAGGAGATGGTGGTGACAAAAGAGAGAGAAAACAAACGGCCAAACTTTACTGGTTAAGAATTGGGCATGCAAGCCCCTCTAGATATTCCTTTTTACTGTACTGCTTACCTCTAAATGTTAATATCTTTCCCATTTGTTGCTTTAACCAAACATAGCCCAGTTGTTTGGGTCTTTATAAATATTGGTACATTTTGCTTAACTCTTTGAGTCCCAAGGAACACAGCATATGTTCATAGGTTCCCATCTAGAAGCCCAATTTACGCATGTTGCACCAATTTTATGTTTCTCATTACTACTCCTTGGGCCTGTGATGCTAAACCGCCTTGGACTCAGTTGGTTAACAGGTAGGCCTTTAATTTTCTGTTTCATAAAAATGTAACCGATTTTCTAACAAACACCGTGAAATACATTTTATCCTTTTGTTATAGTATGACTAATACTACAGTTATTATTGCATACCTTCATCCAAGGCAAATCCAATATTTAGCTTCTCAAACTCTTTAGTTTTCACAAATTCTATCATGCCTGTTAAACCTCCAATCTCTTCATCTGAAATAATAAAGATAAACTGCATCAATTTCCGCTTATTCATAGTCAAAGCAGTAGAATAGTTAATCTACAAACTCAACACATTCTTGCTGGACAAAACTCCAGTATTGGAGATATATGTTTTTTAATACTACTAGTACAAGGGTTTTGCTTTTGTGATAGTATGCAAAGGTCTGCAGTACCAGCGCTTTGGAGGGGGGAGGGGGGGGTCTTTTTTTTTTTCAGTGCTACTGTAGTAGACACATTGTGGTGAGTACCAGCACTTATTTTTTTTTAAATAGAGGAGGAAAAGCACTGGTTACTACAGTTACTACTACCATGTACTGCTATTATGAGCTACTCCTGCTGCTACTCCTATTACTGCTTCTACTACTACTACCACTAATACACCTGTTACTATGTCTGTTGCCACTACTACTATGTCCTGTTGCTGCTACTGCTACTACTAAGTATTTATTTTTTTTTTTTTAAATAAAAATTTAAAACTGTCTCCAGTAAACATTACAGCAACCAGCAGGCAGCTATGAATGAGTCTGTTCAGTTCTGTAAGGGAATATAACAGCAGGAGGCTCAATACTAGGGCTGGTCTTACTACACAACAGTATACAGTCTGATTTGTGTTAAGTGTGTATCCAAATTATGTGTCGTCTAATTATTTCTTCCTTGTGACTTAACAAATAGAGCAGGACTATCTGTAAATCTCTTATGTTTTTTTAAAGTTAGTTGTATATCCTCCATGTTGCAAACTAGCCCCAGAATTTGTTGCATATTTTTTAAAGTTAATTGCATATCCTCTATGTAGCAATCTAACCCTAGGATTTGTTGCTTCTTTGTAGCTTCAACTTAGCTACTCCTCCTCCTACTTCTTCTTCTTACTGCTCACCATCAGTAAGTTCTGGAAGAAATAAAGTCCTGGACGTTCACCCACTTCTGGCCTTTAATCTTGTTCCAAGATTTAAGTTTTTACGTGCACGTCCATTTTACAGAGCTGGTATATATATATATATATATATATATATATATATATATATATATATATATATATATATATATATATATATATATATATATATATATATATATATATATATATATATATATATATATATATATATATATATATATATATATATATATATATATATATATATATATATATATATATATATATATATATATATATATATATATATATATATATATATATATATATATATATACCAGCTCTGTAAAAATGGACGTGCACGTAAAACTTAAATCTTGGAACAAGATTAAAGGCCAGAAGTGGGTGAACGTCCAGGACTTTATTATATATATATATATATATATATATATATATATATATATATATATATATATATATATATGTGTGTGTGCAGATTGTTGCCTAGGCAATTTTATGCTCAGTAGTTTGCTAATGCTCGCTGAACATTTGACACTCAAAACCAGTGACAAAATCAAAGCACTGAGTTTGCTGTCTAATCATCTGCAGCTGAATATCTTGGAATTGTGAAACTGTGCTCATAGATGCCAGATAATTTATATTCTGTAAAATATTCTGCCAGCTGCTTGTGTTTTTTACAGTTAACCTTTTTTAAGCATGTGCTACTTTAATTCATTCTGTCCTAAGGAATTGTTATTTTAATCTATGGTTGTATCTAAAGGAGTCAACAAAATAAAAGACTATAAGACAGGAGTTAAAATAACAAAGGAAGCAGCGCAGATTGGTGTACTACACTCACAAGACTACAAAAAGTTCAGAAAAAATATTTCTTTAAACGTTAGCTGTGTATTCTTTGGCCTTTTGTTGTTTTACTAGGCAATTTATGTTTACTAGGTTGCCACTGTTTCCTGAAGAAAAGTATGCCATGTTTGTCATACAGACAAAAAAACTACAAACATGAAGTGATTTGCTGGGTACTGAATTAGTTAATCACTGGGGGTAATTCAAGGCTGTTATTTTCAGTCTGTAGCAAAGTCATCCTAGATCAAAAAGAAACAATCAATCAATTGCACAATTTATTGCTTGTCAAATTTCACTGTATCACCTCAAGTGCATACTAGAGTATAAAGTAGTACACAAATTTATAAAACCATTAAAACTGGAAAACAAAATTATCCACTATCAAAGGTAACTACCTGTTTCACCAAGGCAAGTGCGGGTTTCCTTAATAAGCTACAGCAAAATATGGTATTCATTAAAGTGTGCAACTAATTATTTATGTCTTCTCTGTTCAAATGTACAAAGGGGAAACATTGCTTTCATGTTTATCCATGCTGTACCTGGACAGAAGGTCACATGGAATGTCCTCTTGAAACGCTTCCCTGCTGTTTTCAGTTTACGTATTGCTTCTAGGTACCTTTAGAAATACACAGAAAGCATTATATAGGAACTGCTCATAAATTATTCACACTAGAAAATCACATCCATTACAAAATAAATGATGTACCAGTAACCGTAACTGACAAAATTTAGTACTATTTTGTGATTTCAGATTAACAGCATGGTTTTTTTTAAGGCAGGGAGTTGCCGTGGCATTGGCGGCTAGATACCTGCCTGCAGATCGGAAGGTCATGAGTTTAGGTCCTGACGGAGCCAAACTTTTTCAGAAATGACCATGACTCCCAGGTCCACCCAGCCTTGAGTGGGTACCAGGTGCATTCCTGAGAAGTAAAGGCGACCAGTGTGATACTGACCACATCACCCACCAAGGGCAAAATGGACGCTAGGTACGGCCTCTGTTTTGAGCCGTGGCAAATTTTTTACTTCTGCCAGACAGTGGCCATTGCATTTTTGCTCCATTTGTAGACTGAAAGGATATAGTTTTATCGCCCAGCTGAGCTGAGTGCATGGCATGACACTGAGCAGCGGATTTCATGTGGAATGTTTTTCGGCTGTGACCAACATGGAGTGAATTGTAGATTCAGAAAATGGTGCGAAGCCAACTGTTGTCACAATATTGGTGGTGCCATTGGGGGATTAAAATTGATCGCATGTGCAACTGCTGATCTGTTGGTGACTTTTGCTACCATCCATGATGAACTGCATATATAATTTTGGACTGTTTGTGTTAGCACTTTGGATGGCTACCGTATGGTTTTAATGCGTGTTTATGCTAGACATGCTCAGACAGCAGTCTGTCAATCTTTCCACAAGGGACTGTGATAAACATTCTGTGTGTTTTCGTTGGCACAGGAGCGGAGCGACTATGGGGTGACCCATTTGCTATGAAGCTGAAACTAAGATTACCAAGATTACCAGATGGTCTACAAAAATTTAGGTCTAGCCCTATATTCCCAATATGCCTAAAGGTGTGAAAAAGGGACTTTTACTTTTTTACTTTCATTGAAGGTAAAGGCACAAACAACAAGACATTTAACATAGAAACATTAACAGAAAGAATATTTATATGAGTAGAGATTGGTTTCTTTCCTTACTGATTACACTAAAGAATTTTTGGTCATCAAAGTCCTGGACCTGGGGGCTGCTTCCTGTTGATATTAAAAGGGCACAAATCATGATGAGTTGGAAGCCCAACATATGGATGTCAGGTGAAGCAGTCATGTGCAGGACATGACGATTTCTTGGGTGAGCCCAGGACTTCAGTTATGTATTGGCTCTGCATTTATGGAAGCTTCATAGGGGATGGTGAAGAATGCACATGATCTGCCCCTGCTTCTTGAGGGGTGACCAGTTTACACACAGTTGTTCTCCAGGAGTAACACCTGTAGATTTTGGGACAAAGAGGACAATACACAAATGAGGCTACGTCATGTCCCACAAAAATGCTACCCAAGTGAAGAAACGCCTGATTAGGTCTGACATGTTGGCCAAAAGGTACAAATATGGCAGCTTTGGTGTAACAGGCACATGCAAAATAATGTTTTAATTGGTGGAACCTGCGCTGGGGAAACAGGTGGTTACTTTTGACAATGGTAAATTTTTGGTCGGATGAACGAAAAGAAGAAGATGACATAACGTGTGAAAGAATTTGTGAATGAAGAATCTGGTATGGATCTAGCAAGGAAGGATGTATGTTGAATGTTGTATTAAGAATCGTTATCACAGCACTCAGGACACCCCCATAAGCACTCCATTCCCATCTTAAGTAGCAAGCAAGAAGTTAACATTTTGATGGTACCAGTAACTGTGGAAGGATGTATGAGAGAAATAGAACAACATGTATATCATCAGTGTGCTATGGGAACAGCATCTACACTTTAAGATACTTACTGTGAGAGACAGAGCATCTATATGGATGCCTGGTATGCTATGATGTTGATTCCTAAATCAGTAAATCAAATCAGTAAACCTCATGAAGAACTTTAAAAAGTTTCAGTATTTGTGACTTACCCTATTCCAACACATTTCATATCCTGCAACAGAAAGCAACAACAACATCAGTAAATATTTTGACAAGACATTTAATGCTGTGCTACATGGAAAACCATAACTTTCATTTGGCTTAATTACATCTATGTGAAATTCAGTGCATCCTCCTTATTTTATAGGCCATTCATTGAGTGGTGTGGTCAGTATAACAATGGCTGCCCTTACTTTCCAGGACAGTTCTGGACAAAGAAGACAGCATTATGTATGGCAAATCATGAGGTGAAGTGCACAGAGAATGGCCAAACAAAATTTGTTTTAATGGGGGGGGGGGGGGGGGGGGGGGGGTTTTAAATGAGGGGAATTAGATATCCAAAAAACACCCCAAGATGAATGGTGACAACAGAGGCCAAAGGTGCTTCACTGGGTTCCATAAAATAGAACAAATGGGAGGAACAGTCTTGAACTCTGTGTGGCAGATGTGGCATAGCAATGATACAGAATGCTGATGATTTAAATGTGTCAAGCATCCACAAAAGCTTACTCGAAATGTCTCATTTTAGCCAGGCAATGCAAGAGAAAGAGTCAACAGAAAATCAAAGACATTTCTCCCAAACCATGTCTCAACTATTAATATTTTTAGTCCCAGACTAATGTTACTTTCACTCATTCCATCTTTAGAAGTAATTATTTCAAATGAGAAAGTCTACATTCTGTGCGCACACCATGAGCAAGAGCAAAATTGGATTACCATGACAACAGAAAAGTTAGAGGGAAAGAGAGGCAGAGGAAGTTGTTCTGCATTCATCTGAAGATGTAACTGTGTTGTGCCCATTTATAACATGGCTGCAATATTTACATCCAAATTATGCAGGCATTTGCTGCCTTAGTTAGCCTTCCCAGCATAGAGAGTTAAAGTCAGTAAATGTTAGGTAGTTTGGTATCATAACATGTAAGAACATCCGTATGTGAAAGACTGATAGTACCTAAGACAGAAGTCTGTGGGCAAATATGATTACCTACCAGCACCATAAATCATGGGCTGGAACAAAGGACCAAAAGTCAAAGTAACAACTGAGGCAAAGATATTTAATTAACAAGTGAATATCATGCAAGGAGTTATGAAAGCATATCATGTTAGAAGAAACCTAACAAACACACAGTGAGTCTTTTGGTATTTAATGAGTTAACTGACAGAAACCACACACCTGTGCACCCCTGGCAAAGATGTCCCCATTCTCCTCTTTATGGGCACTGAAGGGGTCATACTTCCAGTGCTCCTGGTAAAATAAAACATATCTGACAAGGTTAATTACCTTCATTATTCATAAACACAGTGCTGGTTATCAGTGGGGAATAATTATGCCTTATTAACAAGCAACCACAATGGATGAATACTGTGGCATGTTCTAGCTTGTCACCTAAACATATGTTGACTACTGCAGAATTTAGTACTATAACAGTACATGTGGGTTGAATGTTGAATTTGGAATCGACATCACAGACATTCTCACAAGTTCTCCATCCTTATCTTCAATAGCAAGAGAAGAGTTCCAATTCCGATGGCACCAGTAGCCATCTGATTGTATATCAGTCTCATCCTTCCCCTGAGTGTTAAGCATCATCCGCATTCCCTGGTAACTCTTCACAGTGTCATTCTCCTCAGACCGTAATGATCCATCTGCACATCCACACTGTGCACTCGTTCCCAAAGGGCTAGCACAATTTCTAGCTTGTCATTCATAAATTCACCACCAAGTGATGCAGAGCCGGCCAGTCTATCTGCCTGCTCATTTCCCAAGTGGGTTAAGATCCTCTATATAGTCTAGAGCAGTAGTTTCCATCCGTGAGTCAGTGAAACGAATTTAAGGGGTCCTAGACATCAATTGTAATTTTTTTTTTTAACATATTGGGTATACGCAGCCATTGTAGAGTTAGCACACAGTTTTAAAAAAACCTTGTATATGGTATTAATTTTGCAAAGCAAAATAATAATAATAATCCATAAATTGCAATTTTATGATCACAGTCATTTGAAAAGCATACTTATAATCTTTTATTAACTTAAAATATAATTTTATCTTTCATCGTTATTGGTGCTTACAACTGCTGCAACATTGAAAAACAACTAAATGTATTAAACATACACATGCAGTATATGAAAGACTAAAATTCCAATTATAACTAAGATGTTCCTCCGTGACATGGTTGCAAATTAAAATTTTCTCTCTTGGACTCTTTTTCCTCCCCTCAACTTTCCTGTTGCACAACTTTTCAGCATCTTATTATGCTCTCAAATAATGCTGATTATCCTCTTTCTACACTGCTGTTTGTGTCTGCCCATGAAATTCCTATGCATACTTTTAGTTTGTCCTACATGTTCCGATTCAAAAAAGTGTAGTTTTTTTTGTTTGCCCTGGTTTTGCTGAACATTTATTTACCTTCAATATCCTATATATGGTACTGAGAAGCAGCTGGCAAAGTGGACAGAATGCTGGGTTCTCATATGTAAGACCAAGTTGTGATTGCTGGCAAGCAATGATGATTTCTTCTGTCAGTGGTTTTAAAAAAAATATCCTAAACTGCACAGCTGATGGACATTGTACTAGCCATTCAACCTCATATCCTCAAGTTCATGATCTTCCTGTCCTACATCAGCCTAGGGGTAGTAACTACAGGCAGTAACAAGAGTTTGTTCAATGACTGGTTTCAAATTGGTCATGGATGTATACTAACTGTAGAATAGGCAACATAACCAACAGTGAAGTAAAAAGAAGCAAGCACACTTACTGGAAAACTGGGAACAACATCAGTATGAGAGTACAGCATAATGGATGGCAGCGTGGGTTCCAATCCCTCCCAAGTGATCAGGTCCACTACCCTGTTCTGTGGCAACTGTCAATGCATAAACATATACACTGTATCCGTAAAGTCAAGATGCACTTTTGACGTCCTTAACCACATGTGTGGGAAGAACTTAAATATCGTTTAGATGTGAGTAGGGAAACACATGGAAGCTTCATCGAAGTGCACTGAAAAGGTATGAAACTTGGAGAGTTTTTCCGTTCATTTGGTAAAGATGTTCCAATTCCATCTTGTTTTGTTGATTTCCTGTGACCGGTCAAGTGCACCATGACTTTACGGACAAAAGTATACACTTTTAATATAGTAAAACCCTTTTTAATAGTACATACCAGTTCTATGCCAAATCAAGCAGTGTTGTCATGCTTAACAGACAAATGAGAAGATAGTTTTGTATAATACTAGGAACCAGACAGGGCTGCCTTATCTCCCCAGAAGGGCTCCACAGACGAGAAGAAGAAAAGAGGCAGGCCAAGAAAAGTCTGAATAAAGAACTTGGCTGACTGGAAAGTTTTTAAATATGCAAACATGGAGCCTATCGCATATTATGACAGTCAGGGGGTGGGGGGGGGGGGGGGGTGGGTGGGGGGAATGTGATCTGACAGTCAGCAACAGGTGATAACCTAGTGATATGTAGTACTATATGACTATGATGATGATGAAGTCTTTTGGGTATATAGTCATCATCATCCTTATCACCACCACTGTCCTATTGGGTCATTAAATGTCAGTTAGGGCTCAGATTTTATTTCCCCTTTCCATTCTTTCATGAGTTTATGACGATGTCTCAAGTTATGTGACCTCAGTTATCAGCTCAGCACTCAACACACTCAGCGCTGTTTACATGTACCCTCCATCTACTTAGAATATTTTCAGCTGATTTTTCTTAAAGTTTACGCCACATAGTGTAGGTCAATCTGTCTGTCCTCACCCTTCTGTCTTGTGTACTGCCAGTTTTATTTGTCACACAAATGTTTCTTCATGACAAGATATCAAACAGATTGATTGATTATCTATTTGTCCCTGCAAGCTGCTACCTACAGGTTTACCATACCATCATGAAACCAACAATTTTCTATTTGGATGCAGACCAAGAAGGTAGAACCCATTTACCCCATTAAAAATCCTAGATACCTTGCTAAAGATCCTATATACCCTGTTAAAGATCCCAGATACTCTGTTAAAGATCCCAGATACCCCATTGAACATTTAGAGAAGTTATAATTAGGGCACCAGTGACAACTACACCAGCAAGTCCCTTGTGGGCATAGATAATCAATCTGCCTTCCACCATTCCAGTTTTCACAATGTACTCTAATAGTAGGATACAAAATACCTTTTAAGATTATCATTTCTTCCTATTATTATTAAAGTAAGTGCAATATGATAAAATGAAACTTGTTATTCAGTATGTGTCTTCTCCATCAAATTTAAGTTACTTCTGTAGAATATTAAAAAAAAAGTGATTGTTCACATAACCTGTAGCCCGCATACAGTATGATGCCACTGACTGGGTTAAGTAACAGCATATGTTAAACATATTGTAAACACATTTTATGTTAATCATATCTATTGTAAACAAATTTTACCTCAACTTGCCAATAGGTTAAACCAAGCTCATCTGCATACTTTTTGTAAAACTCTGAGGCTTTAGCTAAAGAAATAAGGGGAGATACACAAATTTCAGATAGACAATTTAATAAAAATTTTAGTAAGATTAAACGTTAATTATAACAGGGAGCTGTGTTAGATTAGTGATCAGATGCTCATCTGCTGACCTTAAAATCTTGAATCTGAATCTGCATTCCCCGTGTGGTTTCTGGGGCCCTATTATAAGGAAAACAAGAATAGAGCCACTGCTTACCCAAAAGCATGTAGTAAGAGTCGACTAGCTGGGAACTTCCTTTAAAGTCAGAGTGCATCTGCCTGAGAGGCAAGGAACCAGCAGTCTGCATACAAATGAATTACATCTGTAAAACAGATGCACACGCAACACTCAGGTTCTGGAACAGAACTGCAGTCCAGAAGTCGATGAACAACCAGAACTTTCTGCCAGAATTTACAGCTGGTGAACGCCAAGAATTAAAGGAGTATTATTCAAAAAAAATAACAAAATGAACAATTAAAATACTCTGGCAACATTAAAAGACATAACATGCTTTTAAAAACCATACTGGGGTAAAAAGTCGAGGGCAAGAAAGTAAGAGGTTGACAATATTACAAGTGGGAGGACAAGATCAAGAGACAGACAAACACCAGTCTGAGAGAGTGTACAACCGAGACAACAGCATATTGGAAATCCATTGCAGCCAACCTTTAATGTAGAGATGGCACCTGACTGAAGACATTTAAATGTTGAATCGACATCACAGCACTCAGATCATTCCCATATGCACTCCATCCCCATCTTCAGCAGCTAGCACAGAGTTCGAGTCTGATGGTCCTAGTAGCAGCCTGATTGTATGTCCATTTTGCCTTTCCTCTGAGTGTTGAGTGTGGGCTAGACCCCATGGTCACCCCATGCTGCCCTATTTTTTCTGGTCTGTAACATTATTTAAATTGCCAATAGGAAAACATTGCTCTGGAGCTGTAGACGATTTGGTAACACTTACCATAATCTGGATTTGGATGAGAGGTGTTGATCCGTAAATACTCTCTAAACCTAGTGACAGCAATATTCTCCACTGCAGCAGATGTCATGGTGGTTGATTTGTTGCAGATGAATTTTGTCAGTTTGTTTATACTTCTCTGGAGTAGTCCACAACTTCTGAAATGTTAACATGTTCTTATTAGCTGAATCTGACTTCATTTGTTGTGTAACAGTTTAAATTCATATGCTTAGTCCTTCCTGGTAGTGGCACAGAGAGAACAGAAAAAGCGCTTTAAGGACACTTTCAAAACTGCTCTTAACTCTTTTAGCATCAACATAGCAATATGGAAAGCTGCTGACCGTTCTGGATGGTGTACATCCCTCAGGCATGATGCATCAGCCTACCAGGTGGCGGAGGTTGCATAGGCAGAGAAACTGGGGCAGACTAGAAAGAACAGTATCGCTAATTCCACATTTACTTCGGTTTCTACCTGTTGTCCTCACTGCTCAAGAACTTTCCAGGTGCATATTGGACTAATCAGCCTCCTGCGAACTCATAAACATTGATCATTACTACTTTGGATGACAAATGATCTTCATCACTCAGGATGAATGAACAACAGTGGTACAGCAGAGTAAAGAGCAGAAAAGAGTAATGAAAGTAGATCACGAAGAGATCTGACTGCCCACATGAGAAGGAAAAAGTCAACTTTCTTTGACTGAAGAACATCATGACAGTGGGAAAGTTGGGGGGGAAAATGAGGCAGAAGTAGACTGAGAAAGAAGGTGTTGGACAGTCTGATATTATGGCATGTAAGAACATCTGTGTCTGAGTTGAGTGAAAGTACACAAAACAGAAGGTTGCGGACAGACACGACTATCAATGTTACATGGCAAGGACTAAAAGAAAAACAGGACCAGATTAGTACTTGTCATATCACTCTTTGAGTGTTGACTAGTCTATACAAAATAGGGTAGCCACGATTTGCTCAGTACATCTTAAGTACTGGAAAAATACTCTTTTCAATAACCATACAGATTTAAAAAGCTGAAAATGAGGAGACAGCAAACAATTTAAAGCATAAATGATATTTGACTACAACAGAAATGCTTATGAGCATCTTATTAAAAGTTAAATTATGAACTCCGTATATGGGGCATTTCATGGATTCTATTTGATGAACCATATAATACTTTATTCTATTTCTTACAGAATTAAACTAATCCCCTGCTGGCTTTATGAGCTTGTTACATGTATTTTATAAATTAATAATATTGATTGACACTCACTCGTAATTCATAATAAAATACTGGGCTACGATAAGTCACTCTGTATGAATAGGCTAATTTTTACTTTACACATAAAATAATTACTCCTGCAAGCTACGTTAGGGTATGTAAACTTAACAAGTCACATAACCCATTATCAGAACCACTTGTGTAAAATTGATGGAGGGTGGTCTAATAAAGAATGTGTAAATCAATGTAAGAAACTTGATGACTGGACATAAATTGACAATTTCATGGGCATTACCCGGTGTGCCCAGTCCTACAATGCACAGGCCTTTCCAGAGTAAATCTGCATATTGGCTATTTACTTGGCATTTTAACACCTCCTCTCCTGATTTCAAAGATTACATTTTGGACATATTTAGCATATGATGTCAACCAGGGTTGCCAAAGTTGGTACTTTTGTACAAATGTGGTACTATTTTACCCTTGTCGAGTAAAACTGTACTTTTAATATTAAGCGTGATGTTTTGGTACTTTTTGGAAATGCTGAGTAAACATTTTAAATGTTGGCATTGCTCACTGGATTCAATTAATGTTGTTACCTAGAAGACCAGCATCACTATGCCACTGGTCATGTAATTTCCCAGCTTGTTAAAAAAACATATGAATAAAGAAATTTGATTGGCAGCAGACAGGGCACTACAGAGAGCAATGTTATACAGATACAGTGGTAACAGACCTAGAGGTCGACCACGCAGAATATTGATCAGAAATAGAGACATTGAAAATTACTATATATGAAGCGAACAGAAGGGCCCGTTCCAGAGATCTCTTCCTCCCCTGATGCCGTGAGGCATTCCAGGAGAAGGGAAAAGAAAGAAAGAATAAAGAAATGCAGGAAACTAACTGTGCAAGAACAACCAACTAATGCTGAAAATGAAATTTACCAGCAATATTTTTATTTTACAATTTCCGCAGAAAAATGTGGAGATGAAAATTGTGTTCCATTAGTATCAACATTTATGCTTAGTCTTTTAGTATGACCTCATTCCTCTGCAGCTGAAGAAAAGGTCTGCTCTTTGTTTAACAGTATTAGGATATTTGTTTAAAGTCACTGTTCTTTGAAAACTTCAACATTAACCGCACACACTTGACATGCCATAATAGTTTTGTAACAAATTGATACGTAAAAAAAACAGAAGAGCAATTATGAAATGGACAAAGAATTTCAATTCTGATCAAGTATAATATTAGCCAGTTTTGTGTATGTGTGTGTGCACACGCACCCTTGTGTGCATGAGTGTGTGTGAGTTTTTAAGATATTTTAATGGGTTTTTTTTAAAGTACAAAATTTTTAACTGTGTACCTTTTTTGTGTGTTGTGGTACCTTTTCTAAAAACATTTAGTGCTATTCCCAAAACAATGTCGTCAGCTCTGAAGTTAATCCCATAACTTTAGAGAACATGTAATATGTATAGCATCAGGGATTTGTCAGTATCCACCCATCCAATCCAAACTCTAATGACTTTATCAGGTCTGTCCATACAACTATACAGGAACCACCTATGTGAAATTAATACGAGGGCTATCTAGCTCTGAAAGTTCTGGTTTCGTTTCACGGATGTGCCCTTCAGTTCACGAGTGCAGTTTTAACGGAGATCCCTGGGGATCATCCCCGGATCTATGGAGTTAGTGCTCTGCGTGGCACTCTTGGCATACAACCGGGTACAACGAAGTCAATCCTCCAGACTTTAACTTTTAAATCTTTAGTTAAGTTTGTGTCAATCAACAAAAGCCAATTTATGCCGGCATAAACATATTGCAGTTTCCAGGAGCAATGCACACATTAAAACTGGTGTTGGTTCTGCAACATCATGTAATCCATACACAACTAATTTTAAGGGAAAAAAACAGGCAGGAAACTGATGCAGTCAAGAGCTATTTTGTTTTAATATGGAAACTGGTGTAGCAAAGGATTAGATATGGTGGGGAAACAATGTAGATAAATGTCTGACTGATAAAGTCATGAACAAATTACATGTAGTTTAACTTGATGCTGCCAGGAATGGGTGTAATCAAGAAGAAGCTAAATAAAGCCGAGAGGCCATCATTCTCCAGATCTTTCTTTCTTTTAAAAATCAAACACAGAAGTGGAGATCTTCTTCGTGTTAACCAGCTGTAAACTCTGGCGGAAAGGTCTGGTGGTTCATCCAGTTCTGGAATGCAGTCCTGTTCCAGAACCTGAGTGTTGCCTGTGCATGGTTTCACAGATCTGACTTATTTGTATGCAGACTGCTGGTTCCTTACCTCTCAGGCAGATGCAATCTGACTTTAAAAGAAGCTCCCAATTAGTCGACTCTTAGGACATGCTTTTGTGTAGGTAGTGGGTCTATTATTGTTTTTCTATAATAGGGCCCTGGAATCCAAACATGGAAGCAGTGGATATAATTCTGACTTTTCAAGCTCACACTATTACTATTAGCAACTAGTCAATACCTATATGCTTTATTTATAACGAAGCAAACACTAATCGAAACATGGTGTTTCAAAACTCCCATACATTTATTTTACATATAGGAATATATGCTTGCTTGCCAGTGGTAACATATTACAAACCCCATCAATTTAAAAACTGACCAGGGCTCCCATAAGCCAGCTAATTTACAGGCCTGGGTCCCCTAGGATAACGGTATAACCCAACCTATCGATTGGACGGGGTTTCTAGGACCTGTCGCGGGGTGGTCCTTATCCGAATGGTAGCGCTTGGTGTCATCGGGTGTATACCGCTTGGTGTGATGTCCTGGTGAGGTAAAAGGTCAAGCAGTCAATCACAACGGCGGCCTTTACTTCCCACGACATTGCCAGCACCAGTTTTATGTTGGGGCGATCTTCAAACCAAAAAGGTTAAAGAAATTTGCCGAGATACGGAACGAAATAAAACTGCAGAAAATTAACTCTAACCGCTGTGTTAGCGTGGGATTCGACCTTTGTTTAATAACCCTGAGTCTCTAAGTAGTTAAGCAACCAATGACTAACCCTAATAATACTTGCAAATTATAACAGAATTCTTACGGTGTGCGTAATAGTATAATTATGAACAGTTCACAGACGTAGATGCTTACAAAAATTACAAGCAGATAATTCAAATTACACTACACACTAGTACACAACCAGGGAAAAAAAAGACAGCAGCTCTCAGAAAGAGCTGTAGTTTGTTAGATAAAATCAAACTCAACAAGAATAGATATGACTGCCTCCCAACATTGCTTACCGTGTCGTGTGTAGTGTGTAGCAGATTGCTTTGACACAGGTCCTAGTTCGGGACAAACTTCTAAACGCCATGGTTTGCCTGTAATCTCTCTGACATAAATTCGTCCCACATGAGAACTTTAACTCTTAGTCCACGGAAAAACATTGGGCGCCACGAGTTTCGGATGTTACTTGATCTTTTAGTAATGATTTGAGGATAATACATGTAATGGTAATTAATAAAACAACAACTGGAAAGTTTTGGAGTCACTACTAACCTGTGTCTAACACTCTTGTTTGCCGGACCAGTGGTCATATTTGTTGAAATTCCGCGTAGGTTGTTGATTTTATTGTACTTTTAATTGTCCCGACTTTGCAGGTCAACCCATTAAAAAACTTCTTCTGCTTCTCCTCTTTTTTCTTCTTCTTCTTTTCTTCTTCTTCTTCTTCTTCTTCTTCTTCTTCTTCTTCTTCTTCTTCTTCTTCTTCTTCTTCTTCTTCTTCTTCTTTTTTTCTTCTTCTCCTTCTCCTTCTTCTTCTTCTTCTTCTTCTTCTTCTTCTTCTTCTTCTTCTTCTTCTTCTTCTTCTTCTTCTTCTTCTTTTTCTTCTTCTTCTTCTTCTTCTTCTT